CAGACAACTGTCTGGAATTCCAGCTATTGACTGACGAGCCTTCGGATCACGTCTCTTCCCATTCTAATGGTTGTGCTGCCATCGGAAACCCACCGCCTGCACCACCATGCCAAGAGTACTTACTATTGCCACATTTCTTTTAAAGCTGCTGACTTTTGTTGTCATTGGTTTGGGCTCATTCCATTTCAGGGGTTCTTGGACAAGAGCTGCTGTGGGTAAATAATGAGAAAACATAGTTCTATGGAAAGACTGATAAATCACCAGCACCATACATCCTCTCCAGTTTTATTCCTAAGCAATTTTCTCTAATATTGCTAGCAAAAAATTGCTGCCTGGAGGTGGCGGCAGGTGAAATGCAAGCTCCGTGTAGATGAGAGGCTCAATATATCAAATTTAACTTATTGTTATGCTCTGAGCTGCTTAAAAAGTTATATGAACAAAAGGTGCTTTGAAGCACTATAGAGAGGCTTATCAGAGATGACAGAATTATGTATTCAGCCCATGTGGCAGGAGAAATTTAGCATGGCTACAAGAAGCCCTAGACTAGGACAACTGGTCAACCTCAGTGACACAGGGGAGTAAATAAGCTCATTCTGACCTCCCGCACCCTCTGGAATAAGGGAATGTTCCTGAATAAATGCAGACTTTCTTCCCCAGGATTTTTCAGAGGTCTGCTTCAGGGTCACCAAATCTTAAGAGATAGATTTCCTGATTTATTTCCTGATTTATTTCCGGGATTTTCAAACAACACTTAATATGACTTGCCCTTAGGTGGATTTTCTTTTTTACCTAGACATAAGAAAAACTTTACCCATGTCAAGCAGTGGTTTCTCAGTGCAGTACTTTTCACTGATTTTTTGAAGAGGCAGATAACTCTAACCCTGTATAGGTCTATAGCACCTCCAAGAAGAAGTCACTCCACTCCCCTCCCAGGCTCAGGTTGCCTGGTCTCACACTGTGCTAACAGCTTAACATCTTTTTATTAAATGGCACTGGACACACATGCAATGTGTAGCTGGGCCTGTGTATGACACACTTGTAATGAAAAGACAACTCTGGCCAAAAGACAGTATTTAAGACTCTGGTTTTAATGAAGTTAGCAAATAAGAAAGGATCATAGGCTTAGAAATTACTGAGCAGCTGCACATTATTTGCCTGAAGGCCTGGGAAGCCTCTGAACTTAATGAGTCTAATTTGTGGCACAGGAGAGCCTAAGAGCTTGGTTAAGCGCTATCTAGAGAAAACTACTCTACAAGGATTGCAGTCTAAGTGAAGTCCCAGTGAAGTCCCTACTCCACGATAGATAGGGAAGTAAAGCTTAAAAATAAACCAGCCCAAGATCACCAAGAAGGTAGAAGCAAGATGCACACCCAGGGTAATTATTTCTTGGTTAGTCCAGGGCTTAAAAAACGGACACATGTGACTCCACTATCGATCTTGCCATGGGCAAGTAGAAAGGTTTCCTCATGCATCTTAGATGTGACACTAATCCTACCCGTTCATCTTCAGTTGATACCTGCATTGACCACGCTTTGTTAGTGACTCTTCTGACCTTGAACTACTAGTGGTCACTGTGTGTACATGAGTTCTTTACAGCAAATGCATTTGTTTTTCTCTTGAGGATTTTAGGAAAACTACTTTCTGGCATTTTCTGCTTCCCTCTCTTCCAGAAAAATGTCCTCTAACAAGGATATTACTCATAGACAAGCTGATACTTTCCAAGTACAGTACAACAACAGTAGCTATGATTCTAACTTTATTTCCATTGTGCAATTAAGAGCCTGGAACTTGCATCAGTGTGAAGAGGCTCATACGCAGCAATAGAAACAAAACACTGGATTGGGTTCATCCTTCTTCCCTTCACTTGAGTCATGCAGACTCATTTTCCACTTGATGGAGTGAAATCGGGCGTGAGCTGCCTCATTCTAATGTAGACATCTAGAATAGGTCTGATGAAGCATGGCCTTTAACTCAAGCTTTTCTTTATTCATTTACATCTTCGACCTCTCTCAACATCATTTGATAATCAGAGAAATAAGGACCATGGTACAGGACCACGCATCAGTGTATGCAAGAGGCTCAGTGTTAGCTCAAGACCCCTGAGCCCTCAAAAACAGGATGAAAGAGGAAAAAAAATCTTAAAAGAAAAATCTCTTAGCACATTCTGCTTAAATACTTCATAGTTCTCACAACATCCGCTTAAATTTTCCTCCTAGAAATTACTACATACTCATCTCCAAGGGAAGTAGAGGCAACAGGCAGAATCCAGTGTTCAGAAATCTGTTTCTCCTGCCCAAGCAAGTAGAGTCCCTATCTCAAGGCTCAAGTTCAGCTGTACTTCATTGCAGCATGCATATTAATGATCAGTGTGACTGTTGCTCCTTTTTATTTTCTTCACACTCAGTTTGCCTGGCAGACAACTCTTTTTGTATCCAAATGAGTTACAAGATCAAGGGAATATCTCCTTTCCTGCATTTAACTTTCAGATGAGACTGTGCGTTTGTTTTCAGGCCGCTTGCTAGCCTGTAAATGTTAGCTTGCTAGCTGGCTTTCAGTTTCTCCTCTTTGCGGCAGCTACACGTTTGCTTGGAAAAAATACGTAAGACACCACTTGGCATCTGAGAAGTGCTCTCGCTTTCTGAGCAATACGGGAGCGGCCGGGGATTACGGTAATGGCAGGATCCTGCCTGCTCCATGGGCAGCTCCACGTTGCTGCTGCTCCTCGGCAGCGGGGAGCCGCACGCTGCAGCCGGGGGGAGGCTGCGGGAGGGATGCTCCCGGCAAGCCCCTCACGGCCGTTGGGATACAGGGAACCAGTGCAATTTTGAGCCATCGAAAAAAAAAGGGATTTTCAGGCAGAGTCCCATCTCTGCATGAAGAGAAGTCTCTGCTGTGTTGTGCTGTGAATCTCCTTTCCAGATGCTCAGAGGAGTTGTGCTGCCTTCTGGAGACTGAGGAGGTGAGTGTGAATTGGGGCAAGAATAAGGGTCTAGGACAGTCTCCCCCTGAGCCATCTCTGTTCACAGGTTGAGTGTTATCTTGTTGCTTGTGAGTATAAATATCTATCAGTCATTTTCTGCTGCACCTCCTCCGCTTAGGAACTTCTGGTTTTTGTGCTTTGAAATCAAGTCTGATTGCTTCTTATTTTTCAGGTCCACCGTCATCCCTTTAATGATCATCATTATAATGGCTAGAGATGCTCGATACTACAGTCGCTATTCGTTTCATTACTGTGCTTATTAAAAACTGTCCTTTCCTTTCATGGCATTATTCGTCAACTTGTTCCCACTTGTGAAAAGGAAATGTAAAGGTTTGATTTTGTATCACTGCAAAGAAGGCAAATTGCTTCTCTCCCTACTTATGTACGGGGAATCTCAATGATTTAGAAATAATTGTTCTAAACATTCTCACCTGCAGTAAAATACACAGCTTTGAGATTCACCTCTGTGACTGCTGTTGCAGTTGGGGATCTGTATGAAGTGCAAGTCCAAGAACGCATCTGAAAGACTTAACGCTGGGGTCCTGTGCATGGACATGTAGAGTCTTACCTTTTCTCGGATGTAATGGGAGCAGTGTTAATGGTGGTTTTTCAGATGTCTGCTCAGTGTCTTGGCTAGGAAGGCTGCACCCACATCAGTGTTGAGAAGCTTCCAGATGACACCTGTGGCTTTTCTTTGTGCCCCTTTTGTGTTAATTCCCAGGCTCTGCCTCACTTTTTCCTCGCATGGACCTTTTCTCCATATTTAGTCAGCTGAGACGGAGCTCGGCTTCCAGATACTCTGAAATGTTGTGTCACTCAGCCGGAAACTTCTTTGCCACATCTGCTTGGCAGGAATTGTTTTTCTCTGTAAATTTCTAAAATGGGTTGTTTAGCTGGGCTAGTGAGAAGTCCAGTGTGTAATAGAGTAGCTTAATAAAGAAATCTTAGACTAAATTCTGGACTTGAGGCAGTTTCAACATTTTGTAGTCCTGACTTGTGTCCTGCAGGATTCTGTCTTCCAGAGCTGGTCTCTGCAGGTGAGCTGATAATTAAGATTGATTGCTCTCCGTAAAGGAAAACAGATTGCTGCTGAGAGCATGGAGAGAAAGTCCAGGCAACAAAATTCCTATGGGTGTCTCAATGCTGGGTTGAAAAAGATTGGTTCCACTGGCTGGAGGCAGCCTGGGGAAGGCTCCCTAAAACAGCTTCCCACTCTATTCTTATATGGGAACTGTAACAGAAAGTGAACATAGCTTCCAGAAATCATGCTATTTGTATCTTTTGTTGTCTCCTATAGGGGATGCTGGTCCGAAGAGAGTACAACAGCATGTGTCTATGACATGACAAGCTTCACTTTTCCCTTCAGAGCTAACCAGAAGCTGATGTGAATGAACTTCAACTCCCAATCCAGAAGCTCAAGGAGCAATTGCTCCCCAGTGTGCAGAGGTTTTGATTGGCACTTCAGATCCCAAAGACCTGCGGTGGCAGATCTCAAGCAAGTATCTCAAATGACCTTGCTGAGCGGACACAGCATCAGCAGCCACACACCTTGCCAGGTTTCTGCTAAGCCTGTTGTAAGGCAGAATCAGGACTAACAAAAGACAGTAAATGCATCGTTGACTTCCTCCAAGAGAAACCCAAATTCAATATATTTTGAAATGGTTATGTTATTTAAATATAGAATCTTCCCCAAAAGACAGAAATGACTTTAACTTGTAATTCCAATAATTCTGGTCAAGTTATCCTGGAAAGGATAAGAAAAATCCTCATTTTTATGTAGCTTCACTTTCTAAGAAAATGCAAAAGGAGTTAAATTTGACTGTGAAATGGCAGCTGTGCTATTAACTAGGTGAATGATAAAATTTAGGGAGAAATGTGGATTTTTCTATTATTTCTGGATCCTTCTCATTCCTGGTGCTTCACTTCTAAGATATTCTTGAAAAAAATATTCACAGCGCAGCCAGGCAAATGGTGCCTGTAGGACCTTCTGAAAACTAACCTCACCACTCCCTTTACCAGAAAAGGGAGTGAAATACACCAGCCTTGCCTGAATATAATCAGCCACACACCATGGTTTTCCTTCCTGGAAATGCATCTGATTGCTCCAACTGCACTCACTCTGTGGAGCCTGTGAACATTTCAAGGGCCATTTTACTAGGCATTATTCTAGGAGGGCTGATTATTTTTGGGGTATTGGGTAACATTCTGGTTATCCTCTCTGTAGCCTGCCACAGACATCTTCAGAGTGTTACCCACTACTATATAATCAACCTAGCTATAGCTGACCTCCTCTTGACTTCCACTGTCCTGCCTTTCTCAGCTACCATGGAGATTTTGGGCTACTGGGCCTTCGGAAGGATCTTCTGCAACATCTGGGCAGCTGTCGATGTCCTTTGCTGCACTGCTTCCATTATGGGCCTCTGTATCATCTCGATAGACAGATACATCGGAGTGAGCTACCCACTGAGATACCCCAGTATAGTGACAAAGAAAAGAGGACTCCTGGCTTTGTTTTGTGTTTGGGCATTGTCTCTGGTGATATCGATTGGACCTCTTTTTGGCTGGAAGGAACCAGCACCAGAAGATGAGAGCATTTGTCAGATCACTGAAGAGCCCGGCTACGTGCTGTTCTCTGCTCTGGGCTCCTTCTACCTCCCCTTGGCTATCATCTTGGTGATGTACTGCCGAGTGTATGTAGTGGCCAGAAGGGAAAGCAGAGGCCTGACTTCTGGCCTGAAGACTGAGAAATCTCATTCTGAAGAAGTGACTCTACGGATCCATCGTAAAAATGCTCCTGAAGCAAGTAGGTCTGCATCTAACTCCAAGAGCAAGCATCATTTCTCAGTGCGCCTTCTCAAATTCTCCAGGGAAAAGAAAGCTGCCAAGACCCTGGGAATAGTTGTAGGATGTTTTATTTTGTGCTGGCTTCCGTTTTTTGTGGTAATGCCTATTGGTAAGTAAAGCAAAATCCCTTGCCTTTTACAGTACCTTCTCTGGTGAGCCTGAAATTTAATAGCTTAAATCTTTGATTGCCCAGTTTCAATAGCTTTCCTTACCAAAAAGTTCTTGTGCTATACAGGTAAGTTAAGTAAAATTATATATAAGAGTTTTAGTTAGTAATGGACCAGTCTGTAGTCCAGGAAAAAAAAAAGTGTTACCTAAATACTAAAAGAAAGACTGAGGTTTTATTAAAGTGAGGTTTTATAAAAGTCTGTTATTTTTCAATTTACCCATGTTAGATGTAAAAATTACCAGATTTAAAAATCATTATTGTTTTGTGAAATCTTGCCACTAACATTAGGAAGTGCTAGAGTAAAAGATGTAGCTATTTTGCAAGCAGGAACCCTGACAGGCCTGGCTCGAGCTGTCCAGGATGTCAGCATGTTGGTGTGCTGCTTGCCAAGATATCTGTAACATATCCAAAAAGGGTTTGCAAGAACACATTAAACACTTTTCATCTGCAAATGTTGTTGCCCGAACAGAGCTGTTGTTGTTAATTAATTTGCTTTGGATCTAAGAACTTCCCTGGATTCAATGCTCACTTCATATCTTTCTTTGATCCCCTATAAGGAAACCTTCCTGAGGTTACGTTCCCTATTTTTATGGGGTTACAGTGTTATTCTGAAAGCATATAAGTCTTCTCAAAACATAGTTGTTCGTTTTCTTGAAAGACAAAAACCATTAAACCGGAAAGCAGCATGAAGGACCATGTCTGTGAAAAAAATAAGGAACTATCTTGATAGAGACTCTCCCACCCGAAGTCAGGGACCTGCCATCTGTTTCACAGATCTGTTCTGCGGGCAGGCGAAGTCGGGCACGATGAAGGGAAGCCGTTTGGCCATGGCCACGCAGCAGGATAGTGGCAGGAGTCTGCTTTTTCCAGCTGGCAGAGCACTTACCACTGTATTACTGAAATTAATGCAGGTTGGAGAGCACCGTATAGGCAGCTGGGGAACAAGAATTTTGTTAGGCAGAATACCCGTTCTGCAGGTTTTTTTGCAATTAGACAAAATTGTAAATGGTTCCATCAGTTGCTGCAGGTCAGTTTAGTTACTGCAGAATCAGACCCTGAGTGAAGGGTTCACCATAAGGCAAATATTGTTAGGCTTTGGTCCACAGACGTCTTTGGATGACTGGCGGGTGCTTGATACTCTGCGCAGCAGATGTTTGCAGAGTAAAGGCTTGTTTGGCTGTGTTCTACATCATCTTCAAGATCCCCACATCCATTAACATCAATAGTAGCAACTAAGAACTAAGGTCAAGCAGAAAACAGGCATGTTATAAGGCATACGAAATGGGCATGAAATCCTTCAGGGTGGGAACAGGTCTGGCAGAAGGGCAGCAAGATGGGGATAAAGGCAGTGCAAGCATTTCAGCAGATGCTGCTAACAGAGAAACAGCTTGAGTATCCCTGCAGCATCTTAATTGAAAACAGTATGCAGAGTTGCCAGTTGGAGAGTTGGACTGAAATCTGTGTGGTAATAATTCTTTCCTTACCTTCTCCAATAGATTAATTTTCATTCCAAGCAAAGGATTTATCCAAATGCTTTATCCACACAATAGCTGCCTAAAATTTTCAGCCCAATATATCTTCTTTTCACTTGGCTTTGTGCAGTGAGCCAGAGAATCCTGCTGCATGAAAGGGAGTCAGAACAGCTGATTTCCCTTGGAAGAAGTCAGACTCCATATCTGCAGGCTTTTCTATAAAAACTTTGAACCTCGCATGCCTTTACAGCTTGTTTGGGCTTTGATTTGGAAGATTCTGTCAAATATATCCCAACTGGATATGCAGGTTTTACATTCCTCTTATTTGAGGGTGGTTTGGATTGATGGCTTACCTTAGCAAATCCTCAGAAACAAACTGGTTCCTGCAGAAAGCTAGCTTAAATTTATCTGGTTGTAACTGGTGCCTGCAGACATGGGAAAAGGGATAAAGGAAAACCCTGAGCTTGGAGGCTGAGGGAGAACATGCAGTTCAGAACACTGAACTAGGCAAAGGCCAGGGAGCCTTTTAGCATTTGTCAGTCATTCTGATAATGAAGAAAGCAGAGAAGAGGATACTCTGGGGGGTATTTATATTTGTAGTAGAGAAGTATATTAGGCTTGTGAACTGGCACAAACACTGTCAAGGGAATCCTCTAATCCCATCTATATGACAGTTTGTAATAATTTTCTGTGATTATACTACAAGGCTACAAGGAGAATAACCCTCCTATCACTGGAGGTGAACCAGAAAAGTAAAGTGCATTTTTCTGTCTGTGCTATTGATGCCTTGAGATGTCACAAGGCAGGTATAGGGACAGGCACCAACACCCTCGTGTGGTGTCTTGTGCAGTCGTCCGCAGCCCCCTGCAAGTGCGGGAGTTTAGGCCCTTGAGAAGAGAAACAGCCTTTCTCTCCTCTTTCTGTGACTGTTTGCTGCAGACCAGGGATAGCTAAAGAAGTCGCTCATGTCTTCCCCTGGAAACTGCCACGATATTCTAGGTTCCAGGGCAGGCATGTTGTGAAGGTACCAGGCTCCACACGTGCAGCTTTTCGACATTCCCCATGTCTATTCTTACCAAAGCGTCTGCACTGCTGCCTGGCACTTATTGTGCTAATTTGGTTCTGCAAAACCCAGAAGCATTTCCTAATATTCAGGAGTTCTTTGGTCCCATATTTGTTCCCACAGAAGATACTTTCCGTAAGGAAGCAGCAGGGCAAAACTTTATGGGGGAGCATATATAGACAGTGCACAGATGTTGCATGTCTGCAGCAATACATATCTATATATCTGTATCTCTATCTGTATACCGTTTCCATGGGATGTTTTCTGGTTGACCTGAGATGCCACATAGAGTGCAGTCTCGTGGAATGAAGTTCAGTGCTACCACTGAGCTTGGGAACACGAGATGAAACATATTGAGCAGCATCCGCCGAGCAGACTGCCTCAAAGGAGACCTGGGTTGCCCCGGTAGAGTCTGTCCGTGTGGGGTGACCACTGCTCCCTTGTGCTTTGTCTTTCAGGTCTTTCTGGCAGTCTCTCAGGAATAGCTGCCACCCTCTAACATGATCCACAGGACATGGAAATATACAGGATCCTGTTCCTGTTCTGCTAGCGGAGACATTACAGAGTTAAATAACTATCAGGAAGTTCTTTAGTTTAGAGGTCTTCTAAATGCCTGTGTGCTGCCTATCAGTGAATCCATGCATGGCATAGTGCTGATTTTTAAGCAACCTATAATCAAGCAACTCTGTAGCTTCTAACTAGCGAGAAAACCAAATTGCATCCTTGTGACTGAATTGGCACTTACTCAAGCAGGAGTTATATAGAAAATGGCTCTGAAGAAACTTCAAGTTGGCTAACACTAAAACAAACTATGAGTGGGGAGAACACAGTCTTGACATTCTCAAGGGTGAGTAATGAAGTATTTGGTGGAAACAAACTAATAGTTTGTTTTATTTTATTAATTTTATTTTCAGGATACAGTTTTAATTAAACCAATAGATGGAGCTTTAGCTGGTACAAATATATGAATCCCTACTGACCAGCAGGACCAGATGCATGGCAGAGCAGTGGTGGTTTCCTAAAGCCCAAGTTACATTCCAACATGGTAATGAAAAAGTTAAGGGTAATATGTGAGGGGGTCTATAGATGGCAGAGTTTGTGTACTGATAAAATTACTCCATATCCTTTTCAGTAGTAATGTGTTGCTCCAAGACACCTCCAAGAAATCTCAAACCAATAAAGCAAAGAAGGTTATATTAATAAATTAGCATACAGATTCTCCTTCACCCCCACCCACTCCCCCCCAAAAAAAGCAAGAGAAAGCTTCTGACACTGGCTCTTTTCTATTTTTAATGGGTTTTGGCAGGGCATTAGCATTCCGCTTAAGGTGAGCCAGAAGTTACAGCAAACGGGAATTGTTATTGTTTATCTCATTACACTCAGGCTCACAGACTTCACCACCTAAACCTCTATTTGTTTCACCTATATCTTTTACTTTAATTGGGGAAAACAGTGGACATGCTGCACTTAGATGTGGAAATAGAGAAACAATTCAGTAGGATTAGGCTTTTTTCATTTGTCACCCACCAGTGACTTGCACATGCTTCTCCATAAAGGAAAGCAGTATTAATGTGCTGAGAAAAAAATCTAGATAGTGGACAGAGCTCCCAACTAATGCTTTATTGCAAAATAACATTTTCTTTTTTCTCCATAACATTTTTGCTATTACAATCTGGTCTGTGTTACACTAATAGTGAAACCACCTAGATGGCTTTGGCAGCACAGGAGCAGTCACTGAGACTTGTGTTTGATGCCCAACCTGTAACTGGAGTTGGAACTAAAGGTTCGACTGCCTGAACACAAGCAGCCAGTTCCTTAGGTATGTTCTGCCGGGCCCTTGGGTATTCTGGCTCAGACTAATCTGTCTGCAAAGTAGTGACCTCTCTGCCATGCTCCGGATGGCCTGGGTCCGCGGGGACCGCTCCGGAGCCGGCGCTGGCTGGAGCTCCTCGCGCCCTGCCGCTCCTCCTGTGTCTCCTTGACAGCAGCAGGTCCTCTGGGCCCGTGGCTTCCCCTCCGAGAGCTGCTGCTGTGACTAGAGACATTGCTTGGTGTTTCTCAGCCCCAGACCCTGTTCAGCAGAAGCAGAATGAGCAAGTCATTAATCAATTTGCACTATTTGTGTCTCTGGTTCATGCAGTGTTTTGATACTTTCTCACACAGGCAAAAACACCCTGTGAATTCCTCTCTAGGTTTTGCCACTTGAAAGGATTTTCTATGCTCTCTGCAGCGATGTTTGACAAACATTGGAAGGAAAAATCAACCCCAATTCAACAGCTCTCAGAGTTAAATCTGTTAGCTTTTCCCAAATCAGGAGAGATCTAGCTAACAATTCAAGCCCTTTAATTCTTAGGATATGCTTGTAGGCATAAATAAGCAGTAAAGACTTAAATTTCCAGGGTATTTCATCCAATATGGACATTGGAGTAGGCAAGAAGACAAGCATCTCAGTGCTGGAAGTCCTATTCATTATAAACTTGACTATAAAGCCTAAAAGAAGCCAATTATGTTCTCTGGGAAATTACAGTGCTTGCTATGCCCATGATAAGCTATCCAAACTAATTACTAACTTTTGGAATGATAGAACCACTTTATTTTTATGGAGCCAAACAGTAAAAGTGAAGCAAAGGAAAAGAAATCAACAGCTTTTCCCTTGACAACATACAGGATTTTTTTCTCTTTTTTTTTTTTTTTTTTTTTTGATTTTGAAAAAATGGACTGTTACTACTGTTACTACTAATTCCCAGCAAAATATTGCATGGAATTCAATTTTCTGTTTCATTCTCACACAAATAATATTGCTTTTATTTCTAAGAAAAGAGAAGAACTGAATAAGAGAACTACAGGAACTTCTTACAATGGTTGGTTTGCAGTGTCATTCAGGAAGCAAGAGCAGCAATTTTCTAAACAATTCTCCATAAGCAACAGTGGTATCTCTTTGGTATCTTAAATATGTCTATGTAACTTTATAATAACATGAGTAAATCTTGTAAGCATTGGTTAACATCGTATTCAAATCATTTGAAAGTTAAGCGTTTGTTTATGAGAGCAGTAACGGGCTCAAATTGTAGTTAAACGATTGCGTTATGAAAAGTGTTCCCAATGGTTGCAGCAAAGAGCAGGAACAGATTGTCTGCGAAGGTTTCTAAGAATGGCTTCTTTCCCAAGAGCACTGTACACTGAGAGAATCCTGCCTTCGTGTAGGAGAAATACAGCATGAATTTCTGCAGGCACTCCAACCATGTATTTAATGACCCTAGATTCTTACATTATCTAAATTTGGTTTGTGTAAGTCTATTTCATTTTCATATCCTTAGAAAAATGAAATGTCATTTTCTCTAGTGATTCTTTTCAACATTGGGATGTTCTCCTCCATGTGAGACAATTAAGGAAGGCTTCAATATGTGAGGAGAGAAACATCTGTCAAAATGCGACATTTTGGCAATTATCAGAATTGATCTCCTGTTACTGGAACAGACCCAGACAAAAGTTTCTGAAGTTGTTAGTACATTGTTTTTAATGCACATTCATTAAGAAGTTACCTTTTCCACTGAATATTAACCAAAGGACAAGATTTTAAGTCAGCAGATATGTATAATTAGATTCTGTGTTATCAAACATGTATTGTTATCTACTGTAAAAGAAAAGGAAGTTGGTAATGCTAATTATATGGTCACTCGAAGCTGGTGGTTGTTGTACCAACACACAGAGGACAAATATTTTTGCTTCTGTTATTGATTTGCTGAGGAAACTGTGTGAATCAATTTAATTTTGTTGTATGTTAGCCTGCAATTTATAGAATAAGAAGACCCACAGTATTTTCTTACTAACAAGTTATCTACCTTTTCCTCTTTAAATTGTGTCCATGAGAAATAACCTTGCAAATATATATATCAGTTTCCATGAGTAACTGCCTGTGAGACCTGATCGTTTCCATGGAAATAAGGCACTCTTTCTTTAATGTACCTGAATTTTGTATGCATTCCAGGATATAGGAAAATGTGGAAAATTAATTTTTTTCACATGGTTTCAGGGGAGACGGAGCACCCAGTACTTTTTATCGTCTTGTAAGACTCTTAATTGGAATGTAGTCAACCCAGTTATTCTACTTTTCACTTACTCTGGTTTCTGAAATGCCATTTTTTTGTCATTTCAAATCCCTTTTGATGAATTCCTTGTTAGGATTGTTTGACTAAATAATCTTAAGTTAGAAGTCCTAGAGGAAGGAATTTTCCCTTTTCACTTGATATCATGTCTCTTGCTTGACTGTCTGTCTGTAATTGGGAAAAGGCAATGTTTGTATAGTAAAATAGAAGTCTTAATTTGATCTCTGATATCCTATGACTGTACAACACCATACCTTCAGAAAGACTCGTTCCTGAAAGAATTAGGCTTTGAGTCATCAGTTTTCCAGGACAGAACTGAATCTTACTTATTTTTTCCCATGTTTAAGTTTCTTTGGTTACCTGCAATTTCTCATCGCCTTTGCCTTAACACTGTGTATTTTCCATTTTAGGTTCTTTCTTTCCTGCAATCAAACCCCCGGACACACTTTTTAAAATAACATTTTGGCTTGGCTATTTAAACAGCTGCATCAACCCCATAATCTACCCGTGCTCAAGTCAAGAGTTTAAGAAGGCGTTCCAAAATGTGCTCAGAGCCCCGTGTCTTCCAAGAAAGCAAACAACAAAGAAGCAATCCCCAAATTTCAACATCAACCACCCCGCTAGCCAAAGCGTGGAGCGTCACAAAGGTGTGGTCCGTATCCCTGTTGGCTCGGGCGAAACCTTCTATAGGATTTCCAAGTCCGATGGGGTCTGTGAATGGAAGCTGTTCTCTACTGCGCAAAGCATGCCGACAAAACGTGCTGACAAATCTAGCTGTGCTGCTGCCAAAGTGAAAAGCAAAGGTTTCCTACAGGAATGCTGCTGTGCAGGCACTTCAGGAAATATTCTCCAGGAAAATCGTGAAGTGCCAACCATTAAAATACATACCATCTCCCTCAGTGAAAATGGGGAGGACGTCTAGAGGACTGATGGGACTAGTAACCAGCTGGCAAACTGGTGGCTCTGCTAGTGGGATGTTGCTCTTTTTGATGGGAAATAGTAGTAGATGCTATAACAGGTGAAACAAGTAGCATGTTGGAAAGCAGGGCCAGGTCTTGAGGAGCGATGTCTCTCAGTGCTGTTAGCCCCTTAAAATCTGTGCATGACTTCAGTGGATGGGGAGCTCTCAATGCTCTGCCAAGATCCTCTGCAAGGGGGTTACCTGACATTTAAAGGCCTTATTTGTCACCACATTCCCCTGTTTCAAAAATTCCATTTGCTCTGTTATTTAAGTGTAATGGGAAAAAGAGAGAGCAAACTACAGAAATCCTATAGTGATTTCAGCACGGATGCTTTCAGACAGCAACAATTTCACAGCCACTTTAGCAATATAATTTTGGTTTTTGTTGTTGTTTTTGTTTTTGTTTTGTTGTTGTTTTTAAGCTGACAGACCTGATCCAAGAGCCAAAAGAGCCGAGGCGGGGAGGGTCAGGTCTAGAGTCAGTGTTTACAGAGCTCTGTTTACTGATCAATAAGGGACTTTTGGACAAGAATGTTCTTCTACTATGTCTTGCCTCTCTTGTTCATCTCCAGGTCCCAGCTTGGAGAGGTCCTGCACTCCCTGCCGAAGAGGACAGGCAGCTGTTTGGATCACATCTTCAGCTGGGCAGCCCCACTGTCCTCATTCGTGAGCTGCACCAGGTGGGGATTTGGTCTTCCATAATGCCCACAAGTTCAGCCTGTCTGGAGACACAGTCAGTTCAGCTCACAGGGCCTGGCAAAAACATTCCCTTGGCCCTTGCCCTGCTTGCAGTCACTCTCTAGGTTTCCTTTTGTGCTTTGGATTTCAGGGAATTCCATTGCCAAGAGAAACTTGATCCAGGTGACTGCGCTCCACCTAGTTTCAGAGACCAACCAATTTCCCAGCCCTCACACGAAACCAAATGAACATTTGCAGTCATCTTAGGTTTGTTTGGAAGGTCTCTGTGCCTTGATACAGATCTAATAAAACTCAAGATTAGGTGGGGCATTATTAAGTGAAGCTTAAAGAGATACTCAACTATTTATTTTCCTTCTTGTTCTGACGTCAGCAGAAAACCATTTAAAAACTCAAAATCTCTTTGCTCGGGTGCTTCTAGTAGTCCCTTCCTAAGGTCCTGCGGTGCCATTGTCACTGGAAAAGCTGCATCCCTTTTGCAGTGTTTTCTGGCCAAATGTTATGCCACTTTCCTCTTCTGAGTACTTTGATACAATATATTAAGCCTTCTGTGAGTTCCTAGGCACCCTTAAAGTCAGGAACTTTATCCTGCTTCAGAGTGGTGGGAATTAAGCCCATTAAATGAGCTAGGGATGTACATCCCCACGAGAAAGGACCATCCTTCGGGAATTTGGGAGAAAAGCATTTGGAAACATGCTATAGTTTAATATAACTAATCCAAATAAATAAATAAATGAGCAGTTCAGAATCTGGAGTAAATAGTGGGAGGAATTCTCTGTATAATATTAGAAACGAGCAGTTCTTGACATAACTCCTCCTGAGCCTGCCAAGTAAGAATGCAGCTTCCTTGAAACGACACTTCAGCCTTTACTCTCGTCTCCGTGTCAGCTTCTCTACTGTGCTGAGTATTTACTGACTTGGAAGGGGCTTACGAGAAGGTTGGCTTTTATAGGATAGGATCTTGAAAAGGCACCTTGATATTATTGATATCATTGCTCATTCATCTCTCATTCAGTAGGACATCCCCAGAGTAAAGGGAATTTTAATTTATGCATGAATAAGACTCCTTTTCTCTTGAAAACAATCATATTCAGCTAGCACATTGTCTGAAAATTTGCAGAAGTAGGACATTTCTGAAATAGCAATATAATCAAAAACCTGTGTGGTTAAAGAAGGCCGTGTGCTGGTAGCAACATCTAGATTGGCAGGTGGGAATAGTCACCTTTGAAGCACAGTGCTCCGGCCTGGGAGAGTCAGAGGTCAGACTAACGTAATCCTTGCCTTGTCTTCATTGTTTTTGGTTTTGGTTTTCATCAAATGGAAGATTCTTCCCCATCTGGTGATTCTTGACAGACCCAGACTTCAGTGTCAAACAAGCCTGATGGCAGCCACTGCTTTGTCTGTCAGCAAGAGTGGACATGCGATTTGTTTGGCTCATTCAGCAGTGAATCTCTGCATGTAAATTGCCCTGTTCCCTTGTTGCAAATAGGATTATAGACACTTGTCATCTTTACGGACATTTGGACTGCCATATTTCCAAAAGTAGAGTGCAGGTTTAAACAGACCTCTTTTTTATTTAAAGAGAACTTGGCACTAATAAAAGCGCTACAGCCACAGAGGCTGGAAGTCCCTGTCAAAAGCACTAGCAGTGCGATGGATTCCCCATGGGCCTGCCAGCTGTCACGGCAGGTAAAATTCCTGCAGGATTAGGGCTCTGCTGTGTGAGCCCTGCAAGAGAACAAGAGACCAGCGAGTTTACAAAGCAAGCAGGTGGCCAGACAGGGAGGAAGGACCCAGGGGAGCGTGTTGATTTCTGCTGCAAGTCACATCTGCTGGACCACACTGATCTTGTGATGGATGTGTCCTGAAGGAACCTCGAGAGGAGCGTGGGCATCCCAGTGTTTACTCCGCTGGGAGCGGCGGCTGAGATCTCCAGCCCGAGCGGAGCAGATCATCTCTGTGAAGTGCTGAGAGCTGCCAGCATTTAGTAGTCAGCTGGCTTCTGATTTACACTGGCTGAGCCTTTAGTAAATCACCAACCTGTTTTCTTCCAGGAGCAGGAATAGGTCAGTATTCCAGTTTCCAGGGTTACCCTGAGATTTAATGTTCATTCAGCTTTAGTGCTTTAAAATTACTAGGTTTTACATATTTTGCAACGTTATCCAAATCTCAAATATCATTGCCCAAATAAATGCTCCGCCAAGTCTAAGGATAAATTATACATTATGTAAAATAATATTTTCCTTTGCCAGGCTTTAACATCTTGAAAATACGTAGCATTGAAAAGAAAAAAGATTAAACTAGAAATATTTTTACCGAGGCAGTGACTCAATTCAGTGCTTCGCTCAGGGAAGATTTAAGTCATCCCATGTAGAATCTGTGCTTGATAATTAATTCTGTGTCCTACTCAGAGATGCCTTTATCTTCTTTTCTTTCTTAATTTTTTTGGGGTAAGGAGGACACAATGTTGAGAATCAACTCAGTAGGGCAGCCTGTTGATGCCAGTTCTCTGTGAATGATTGCGTCTGTCAACAGGGCCAAATAGGAAAGCCAGTCAGCCTGCAAGAAGCTGCACTAAACTCAAAGTTTGTGGGACCTCCACAATGCAGTTTTACTGTTTGCCAAGTGAAAGCAGGGAAAGGTGTCTAATAGCTTGCAAGAGAAGTACTGTGGTGAGGCAGGTTTCTGTTTGCTGCATTAGCCATGGCTGTATCCAGTCATCCTTCTGTGCAGAATCTTTACATCTCAGTAGCGCATTGGCCTTTAGCTTATTTTTCCAGCAAATCCAGTAGCCAACAGATATGAATCTTTATTCTGTTTTTTGCCTAATTATACAGAGACTCAGAGTGAACTCAGGGGAAATGGGGAGACTGCCTGGCCAGACGAATCCCAGTTTTTCCTATCACTGCACATAAGTAAACTAAACCTTATGCATTTATAAAAGGGACTAATTCATAAACATAATCAACTACTTTCTGAAGGTATTTGCAAGCAGATTGTTAAATATAAGAAAAATCCAATGTGCTTCAAGAGAGTTTGTAGTGCATTAAAATAAAGAGCTTCCACTCAGCTTGATAAATGTAATTGAATCACTTTTGTCCCAGGGGGAGATTAAACATTCATATTAAAGATTGAAGTAAAATGTCATGCCTTCTATGCAGAGTGCTCTGCATATTTCTCATACTGGCAGAGAAGGAGAAAAATAGCAAGTATGAGCTATGGGGAAATGAATTCCTAAACAGGAGCTATGTCTTGCAATCAGCTTTCACATAAGAAATAACACACCTTTTATTTCAAAAAGTCTAGTAGCGTGGATTATTATGTCTGCTAAACTCAGCTCAAATCCAGGTTGAAAATTGTGTTCTTCCTTAGCATCATTAAACCTTCTGTTTCTTTTCAACAGAGTCAAAATGGTTTATACTAAAAAAGCAGAAAAGATTCCCTGGTAGTCCTTATCTCAGGCTGAATGACATGATCTTCTCTATTGATCCACATTTCTACTGTGAATACTTGTTCCTTATAAACCATTTTGCTGAAGTAAAGCTATAGCCAGCATTTAAGCAATTTTCTACTTTAAAAAGTGATTCTGCTGGCAAGGGAAGTCTCAGCTAATAATCACAGCATCATTATTTTGTGATACAGTATCTTTGCTGACTATAGCTGAATATTCAGTTGTGCTTTGGATTGTTGAAACTGTATTCACGCTGGTGTGTTTTTTTGCTTCCCTATTTTTTTATTGCAGAAATGTTTTATTTTCTTTGGTCTGATGCAGCATTTTGCCTGCATGCTGTACAACTTTGGCTGCCAATGTTTTTTAAAGATATCTCTTGAAATGGGCACTGCATTTTCTGAAAATGATATTTCAATGTCATTGGATTTTCTACATACTGTTTTTATAGGCCCGTTGTTTATTATGCAGCATGTTTGAACAGTCGTGCTGGTCATTTTGTGGAACAAAAATGAATGTATATGAAATACTGCTCGATGAACAAATAAATTACTGTGGGGGGAAAGCTGCACTTTGGGACATGTGAGCTACAAATTCATTTGCTTGTTTTTTATAAGTTATTTCTGTGTGAGCTTTCCCCAATTACAAACCTGTGGATCAGATAGACATTCGTAGTCTTACAGCACTTTACTGACAGCATCCATGGTTTCACTGGGAGTAACGTGCAAGGTGAATAAAGGAATGGCACTTGTATTATTACTGTGAAAAGTTTTCATGCTTAACTGAGACAGGCCTTGCTCTAAAAAATTCCCATCTAACC